ATATATTGTGACATTACTCTCCATTTCGAAGGGAAAGTTGGTAGGAAGGAATTCGTGATGTGGTCTCACCAGAGACCGAAGAATGATTGCGGCGTAGGGAAGACTGTTGAATTGTGCGAAGAAGTTCTCGGCTCAGTCCTGTGACCCCAATGGAACTGTGCTAGTTTTTCGTCTATACTTTGACAGACATCATCAAAGCAAGAATACATACTTTACGAAATCGAGAAATAATATACTAAACCAAGAGAAAATGTGGCCGGCTGCAATCCTAGTCGCTTTTTTTATACACCTAACTTGGCATTCTTAATGAGGTATCTCATGATTTGGTTGGCTACTTCAACCTTAATATACATGCTTGCAAATGAGTGCTGTTACTTCACGAACTGGAAGTGCGTTCGGTGATAGCTGTTTCCTTACACAAATAAACTGTTGTTCGATCCTTCTTCGCTTTCTGATGAGACCACATCACGAATTCCTTCCTACCAACTTTCCTTTCGAAATGGAGACTCATATCACAATCTTATTTATTTTGATGTATCTCTGGTAATATTACAGGGGCTATATATATATATATATGTATATATGAGCACATATCATATGTATATATTTATTTTTTTCGTTTCTATGTATTTCTTATCCCAAGCTAACCCTTACATACAACAGCCAAATAACTTAGTAATCTTTTAAAATAACTGATCACTGAAATTTCTGATCACTTGTTATCTTATATTGAGTTTCATATTATTTCAAATTTGCTGTTGTATCTCTGCTAATCTAGCTCTGACTTCAGCCTCATTGGGCTTGAATCTGGCCTCCGGTTCTAACTTCTGCTTCTCTTGTGAACAAAGCGAAGTCGACTCTAGTCGCCTGCTGGTGGAAGCAACTGCCAGTAGCTCCACTTCTGATCGTGGTGGTCCACAGGATGCGTTAAACCGGTTGCGTAATCTGTCGATTCGAGAGCTAGGTGCTTTGTTGCGTGCGGCCAGAGATGAGGCCGGTATTCTGCTCGACGTCGGATCTTCCGGTACCTTAATTTCCACATGCATTCTTTTTCTGCTCTTTTATAGCTTAGACGAAATTTTTTTCACCATCTGGTAGTATTCGAAATCTAGAATTTTCTGGATGCAATTTTTGGTCCTCTGAATTCTTCCTGAATAACATAAAATCATTGGGGCTCTGCCTTTTTTGACTTTTGTTAAGTTATCTCCTCTTTTCTACCTTTGTTCTCTGGTGACTTGCTTTGCCTATTTATTCACTTAAGAGTCGTCTACGCTGACTCTTATAATATATTATTAAACTTGTCTAATAGAACAAATAAGCACTAAATTATTAAATTAAATGTGACAATTCGGAGAGGCTAATATAACTGTATTTTTATAAAATTTATAACAAATTATGTTTCAATCTGCCCTTGAATCTAGGGATAAAGCTGAACTGATATTGAAGGAGAAAAACAAGCAGAAAACGCAGTTAGGATTACGTATTATTTTAAGAATTGTTAATCCTGCCTTAACTGCTTTAGTTTATTCTTTGCTTTTAGTAAATTTTTTAACATGCTGTCAATTTTCATGTTATTATTTTATTTACTTAATTCAAGCGTAAATAAACTATTATTTTTGAAATTGTTTAACCTTGTTTTCGCAACTTGATTGTTTTATGAGGGAGACCTAGAGAAACGCACCTTGTCCGAAGTCCATCGATCGCATGCTAATTTCCACGGTCGTATCTTAGATTTGGTAAATTCCCAGCCCTTTCGCCAGCATCGTCAGTAAGCCTTGCCATTCTTAGTACCACAACACAACCTGTCAGAGACAAGTAAAGTCGATCCATTGACTGTCCTTCTGTCCTGGTGTATTCACCTATCCTATATCCTTGTAACAACCATTCATCATCACAATTTGTACTTGTTTATTTAAACCTAGTTTAGATGTGCCCTTTTTCGCAAATTTTTTGAGACCCATTTACACTCCTCACTAGTTCCCTCAACCCTCCTGTGCTGGAAGTGTTGATCCGAGACTCGTTTAGTCTACAAACCGCTCCCTCGAGGTCTCCCTCTTGCTCCGAAGGATCAGTCTATTATCTCCCTGGTTCAGTTATTTAACTTGATCGCTGCCACTATATCCGTGCTACTTGAGGCTTTATGTTATATACTCTGACTCAAGCTTTTAAAAGCACGTATACAACAGCCTCATCGAGTAAGCCCCCAAATTTAGAATCTCTTGTAGCCTGGAAGCATAACTTAACGCTGCTAATTTCTTTATCAGTGTTTGGAATGCGCATGCAGTAAATTTTATGGACAAGGCTTTACCTCACGGTCTAAGTCTATGCTTAAACTCATCTACTAATAGCCAACTATCAATAGTGTCCGTCTCATCTCTCGCTCTTCAATCCATAATGCCAAGTCTTTAGCTTTCTTATGCCTTTGTATCTTTTGTACTGATCCCCAAATGTGATTGTTCTACTCACTGTATACGTCTTATTTTGGTTTCCGGTTGTTCCTTTGCGGTGTCCTTGAGATTTCTTCTTTTGACATTGAAAATATTTCCCTGATCTAGTCGCCTTCTTTTTATTGATCTTGCTGTTACCTGATCCCGTCCGAGTTTGCTTAGGCAATATGCAAAGTTTTCGATACTCTTGCCTCCTTCATGTCTCCTGGTCATTACATTTCTCCCAATAGGGATATCGATGGACTCTGGTAACTTTCTTTTTCTAGTATTTTCACATAAGCAGTCAGCCCTTCTATAGATTTCCAATCGATTTCGTCTTCTATCCGTCCAATGTGTTCCGCTATGGAAAATGGAATATCAAGGTGGTAACAAAAGGAAAGACAACATTTCACCAGCCTGCCGACGCAACACGATAAGGTTGATTGCTCTGGAGTTTATAACATAAAAAGAGGCAACTGTGAGCAGAAAAATAGCAGTAAAGCAGGAATAAAAATCAGCCTACGAATCAAGGAACGCCAAAGACTAAAGAAACATGGATATGGAAAGATTCTAAATAGCGGAATACATTGCACGTATGGGACACGAAGTTGATTTTAAATCGACAAAGCCTGTCTGCATATGGTGAAAATAGAAGAAAATGGAAGTTATGAAAAGCCATCGATATCCCTACTTGAATAATTCTAATGACCAGGAGAGATAAGGGAGGTAGGATTAGCGAAAACACTGCATATTGCCTAATTAAACTCGTACGAGATCAGGGAACAGCAGGATAAATAAAAGGAAGACGCCTAGATCAAGGATACATTTTCAATTTAAGGAGAAGAAATCGCAATTAGATAACAGAAGAAAAATTGGAGACCAAAAGAAGGCTCTTACAGTGAGCCTACTGAAATCAAGTAAAACTATCATATTTTAGGGTCATAACAAAAGAGACAATGGCATAAGAAAGCCAAAGACTTGGCCTTATGGATGGAAGAGCGAAGGGAGGATGAGGCAACCAGTGGGGAGTTTAAATTGGCCTCACTAAGTCGGCTCAAAAGGGCACATCTAATGAAGGTTTAGATAAAAAAGTAAGAAATTGTGATGACAAATGTGCGTTACAAGGATATAGGATAGGTGAATACACTAGAACAGGAGGTTTACCACAGTTATTTAGCAAACATTTGGTCAGAGAATAAATTTTACTTGTCTCTGACGGATTGTGGTGTGGTGCTAAGAATTGGCTGACGATGCCGGCGAAAGGTATAGGAATTTACCAAGTCCAAGCTCTGACCTTGAAAATTATAATGCATGCTATGGACTTCGGATAAGGTGC